CTTTCCCTGAGCTCTTCAGCTCAAGGCTAGCGCTCTACCACTTGAGCCACAGTGCCACTTCTGGTTTTCTGGTGGTTTATTGGAGATAAGAGTCTCAGAACTTGCCTGCCTGGTCTAGCTTTGAACCATGATCCTCAGATTCAGCCTCCTGGGTAGCTAGGATTACAGGTGTGATACATGGGCACTCGGCAATACATTTCTTCTGCATTTTTTTTTTTTTAAACCAGTTGTGGGGCCTGAACTCTGGGTCTGGGTGCTGTCCTCAGCTCTTCAGCTCAAGGCTAGCGCTCTACCACTAGAGCCACATTGCCACTTCTGGCTTTTTCTGTTTATGTGGTGCTGAGGAGTCAAACCCTGGGCCTCATGCATGCGAGGCAAGCACTCAACCACTGAACCATCATCTCAGCCCAGTATATTTCTTTTTGAACTGTGTCACTTCTTCCCTCGTTTCGATAGAAAAGATTTTTCTCTTCCTAGGAATTGCAAGAACAATTGAAGATTACCACCTTTAAAGATCTTGTAATCAGGGACAAAGAACTCACTGGAGCATTAATTGCTTCTCTTATCAACTGCTACATCAGAGATAATGCTGCTGTGGATGGCATTAGCTCACATTTACAGGACATCTGCCCTCTTCTGTATAGCACTGATGATGCAGTTTGTTCTAAGGTATGATGCTTTTTTAACTGTTTCTGTGTTGTTGGTTTTTTTTTTTTAACAAGTTTTATAGTATAATCTAAATGAAAATCAAGAATAGAAATCAGGAACTGTCTTGCTTTATTCAAAATATGATCTCAAAAGAATCTTTTAGTATTTCTGGATTCAGAATCCTTATCTAAAAAAGTTCAAATACATAGTTTCATAAAATCCATGTACTTAAACCCTTAAGGTTTTATATAGAGACTCTTTGATACCATTTGGAATATTTTAAAAAAGAAAAGGGGGAATAAGGAAGTTTAATAATTTGCAATTTGTTTCTTTGCATAAAAATAACCACTAAGATTTTAGGTAAATATGTAGTTACTTAAAGTTAATGGGGAAATTTTTATTGATCCTTTCCTACAGGTGGAAAAATAAGTAAATCAGTGTCATACGGACTGCCTGCTGACCAATAATGTATTGACTAGGCAAGAGAATTACCAGACAGAACTGTCTTGCTTAAAATATTTGTGAGAGGAATTAAGAATAGCTAGTCTTTTTTTGATCAAAACTTTTCTGCCTAAAATTAAGAAGAAGTAAGTTTGTAGAGTTTTTACTTATATGATAATGAACTACATATAAATTTAGCCATAGCTGAATCTTCTGTTGACAGCATCATGTATCTGCTTGATTTTGTGTTTTTAAAATTTCTGTCATTTCTTTTAGGCAAATGAACTTCTTCAGCGTTCCCGACAAGTTCAAAATAAGATTGAGAAAGAAAGAATGTTAAGAGAATCATTAAAGGAATATCAAAAAATCAGTAATCAAGTGGACCTTTCCAATGTTTGTGTTCAGTATAGACAAGGTGAGAAACTAAATGTTTTTGTCTTTTACTTAACTCAGAGGACAATAACTCACCTCCCCAAATGATATTTTGAAATTGAAGACTTTTTGGTGATGAGATCAGATCAGATACAGGGTCTTGTGGTACGTGCTTAGCAAATCTCTACCTCTGAAGCTACACCAAGCATGAAGTATGTAACTTGGGACATTGGAGTTGTGATCATTGTCTAGTTAAAAGTACTGTCTCATATACTTTTAATATTTTTTAATTTTTTGACTTAATTTTAAAAATCAAAACTGCTAGGAGCCTTTAAAACTAAATCAAATTGTTTGTGATATAATATCGGCATTATTTTGAATCCCACCATTTTCTCCCTTTCTCCAAAATAAAGAATTCCTTTCTGTTATTTTAATGAGAAAATGTTTTTCAAGAAGCACTATTTTGCTAGCTGCCTTCCAGTCATGTAGACTGGTAATCGCATCAGAAATGTTCTGTTTTCACTAAAGTAATCAATAGAGACATGGAGTTGATGATTGTTTTTCTATGCTAGATAAGGGAAAATATATTCTTAGTAATAAATTCTCGGCTCTTGTCTGTTTTCTTTCCCATTAGTTCGTTTTTATGAGGGTGTGGTAGAACTTTCGCTTACTGCTGCAGAGAAAAAAGATCCTCAGGGGCTTGGACTTCATTTCTATAAACACGGAGAACCAGAAGAAGATGTAGCTGGACACCAGGCTTTCCAAGAAAGGTAAGTACTAAAGCCTTAGAAGGTTATCAACCTTAGGGCTGGGAAGGTGGCTCAGTGGTAGAGCGCTTGCCTTGCATGCGTGAGGCCCTGGGTTCGATTCCTCAACACCACATAAGCAAAAAGAAAAAAGCCAGAAGTGGCGCTGTGGCTCAGGTGGTAGAGCGCTAGCCTTGAGCTGAAGAGCTGAGGGACAGCGCCCAGGCCCAGAGTTCAGGCCCCATGACCAGACCCAAAAAAAAAAGAAGGTTATTAGCCTTTTAGAGAGTTTACTGATGTTATTTTTTTAAAAATAATTCCTTTATTTGAGAACAGAACTGATTTCACTACCATCCCTCTCTCACTATTGCCTGCTTTCTTTTTCTAAGTGAAAGTACTTTATTTAAAAGGAGTGGGTTTTTTCATATTTTATTTTCTTTTATTGTTGTTATTAGTAGTAGTTTTATAAAGGGGTTGCAATTATAACCTGACTTAAGGAATTGTAACCGATTACAGTTCTGACTGAATGGGTTACAGTTCCTTAAGTCACGTTATGAATGTCCTTCCATCCCTCCCTCCCTCTTTCCAACTTTGTCTCCTTCTTCCCTTCTCTCTTTTTCTCTTTTTTTTTTTTTTTCACCCTTACTAGGGTTTGAACTCAGGAACTCCTATTTGATCAGCTTGCTCACTCAGCTGGCAATTTACCATTAGATCCATTCTTTGGGCCCAGTACTAGAACTTGAATTCAGGGTTTTTTACTTTAAGATAATTTTTTAAAATCTTCACACATTTGTATTGTTAACAGGAAACATGAATGTCAGTAAAGGAAATGCATTAACTGTTAAACTTTTTCTTTGTCAATACATTCATTTTATGGCTTTACTCTTCTATGTTTAACCAAACATTTCTCAAACCTATCGTAAAAGCTTAATATATGTATTATTTTAAAAACAAATACATACATGTATTTGTCAAAATACTTCAAATTTTTTGTATGTGTTTAATGTAGATAAAATATATTAATTGCTTTATATATAAATAATAATTTGTTCCTTCTCCATTTTCTTTTAGACTAAACAGTTATAAATGCATTACAGATACACTTCAAGAACTAGTAAATCAAAGTAAGGCAGCTCCTCAGTCTCCCAGTGTACCAAAAAAACCTGGTCCTCCAGTCTTGTCATCTGATCCCAATATGCTGAGTAATGAAGAAGCAGGACATCATGTAAGTGACATAGCATATTTCCATCTGGAAGTACAGTTTTGCTTGATGTGATATAATTATTTTTGGAAAAGCAATCACTCTTAGGAAGTATTTAACCTGATTTTTTCCCCCATAGATTTGGAAATAATGTATTGTGATGCCCAGTAAGGAAGCATTTTTATCCATGCTAATTTTCACTGTTTTATTTTAGTTTGAACACATGCTCAAATTAGCTCAGCGATCCAAGGATGAGCTCTTTAGTATTGCTCTTTATAATTGGCTGATACAGGCTGATCTTGCAGATAAGCTGCTACAGGTAAAAATGTTAATTTATTGTTAATTTATATTTGTATTTTAATTTATATTTTCAAGTAGCATTACATTAGTACATACTCAGTATGGTAAATTCAGTTTTTCATTCTGTGTCTATTAGATGCTATGTATGCTAGTACATACAGAGTTTGGTACATACATATGTTAGTACATAGATACTTTAATTTTACTGTTGAATTGTATTTTTTATCATGATAATTTATATTGTTAAGTAGAAGTCACTGTGTTATAAAGTCAGAGATCTGAACTTCGTTTTAGTTCTGCCATTAAGGCACTCTGACTTTAAACATGTTTTCATGTTCTCTGATCTATAAAATGAAAACAGCATTTGATATCAAGGGTGCATGGGAATCGGTAGCTGTGTTGCAGTAGCTGAGTAAAAATCACTGCTTGCTGGTTTCAGTTCCTCAAGTAGTTTACCTCCTAGTGGGAGCAAACCGAGGGCCTATTGTATATTTCTACTTGAGCAGAATTTGCACTTGTATAGTCAATTATATTCATCAGTCTGATATAATTTTTATCTGAACTTCCTCATTAACTATGGTAAAACAAAAATCATTTATATTGTAAAAATCCTCCTTTCATCTATTGATTATAATTACAGTTGTCTTTTCTGACTACCAGCTAGGCGGTCAGAGATTATTTTGAATAATTGTATAATTTCTAGATTGCTTCTCCATTTCTGGAGCCACATCTAGTCCGAATGGCCAAAGTGGATCAAAACAAAGTTCGTTACATGGATTTACTCTGGAGGTATTATGAGAAGAACAGAAGTTTTAGTAATGCTGCTCGTGTCCTATCCAAATTGGCTGATATGCATAGGTATGACATAGTATTCTCATAGTGAAATATGAAGACAGGGCTTAGTTATATCCAGATTTCACAGGTCCTATCAAATGCTTTTCTTTGATTTTCCAAAAATTTATAATTCTCTTTTTTTGGTGCTGGTCTTGGGGCTTGAGTACAGGGTCTGGGCATTATCCCAGAGCTTTTGTGTTCAAGACTAGGACTCTTTCTCAGACTTTCCTGCCCTGGTTAGCTTCGTATAGCTGGGATTATAGACATGAATACCAGCTGCTGGCTTTTTAAATTACTATAACTTTTTAAGAGCATTCCTACATATATTTAACTCACTTTGTTCTGCGTGTGAAATGGCATATATAAATCCACTTTTTAATTCTCACAGTCTTTTCCATAATAATAATACTCTTCAACTGCTGCATTACTTTTTCCTTTCTGTCAGTACATACTTTTTGAATGTATAAGCTGTACCAAATAAATAAATAAATGTTAATAACAGAGCTCCTGAATGTATAGATACTTTTTGTTTAGCCTCAAATGGCCTATCATTATTAATTAACTAATTCATCCTATTTTGGAAGAAAGAGGAGGAAACTTTCATTTGATTCCTTTTTGAAAGTATATCACTATAGTCATTATAATTATGGTGAAAGGCAGTTTAAGTAGATCCTTTTCTAAGTAAATAAATCCCATTCTATGTTAGGTACCAAAATCTCTCACATGTAATTCTAGCTACTTGTGGTTTCACTACCCCTCTCCCCTTTATTTTTGATTTTCAAACCGAATCACATTATTTAGCCCAGCCTGGCCTTGAACTCAGGAGTCTCTTCCTTCAGCCTTCCTACTTGAGGAATTATAGGCATGTGCCCCCACATCTAATTAGAATTTGAGTTTTTATGTTCTGAACTGAACCTTTAAAATATATTACTTTTAAGTGGTGTTGTGGCTGAACTGGTAAAGCACTTGCCTTGTGTTGAATTGTTTAGGGACAGTGCCCAGGCCCAGAGCTCAAGCCCCATGACCCCCCAAAAAATTAATAAAAAACATATATATATATATATATATATATATATATAATTTTTTAGAAGCAAATGTATGTTTTCTAAAACTTGATCTTTTATTTAAACTCTAAAATAATTTAATTTTTGGAAAAAGTCAGGGTAATTAATTTGTGTTTCATATGGCCTTTTATGTTCACTTGGTTTAAAATAGTATATCCTTTTTTTTTTTTCCCGTCAGTTGTGGGGCTTGAACTCTGGGCCTGAGCACTGTCCCTCAGCTCTTCAGCTCAAGGCTAGTGCTCTACCACTTGAGCTACAGTGCCACTTCTGGTTTTCTGGTGGTTTATTGGAGATAAGAGTTTCACGGAGGGGCTGGGAAGGTGGCTCAGTGGTAGAATGCTTTACTTGCATGCATGAGGCTCTGGGTTTGATTCCTCAGCACCACATAAGCAAAAAGAAAAAAGCTGGACGTGGCACTGTGGCTCAAGTGGTAGAGTGCTAGCCTTGAGCTGAAGAGCTGAGGGACAGCGCCCAGGCCTAAAGTTCAGGCCCCATGACCGCACCCCAAAAAAAAGAGAGAGAGAGAGTTTCATGGACTTTGTTTCCCGGGCTGGCTTTGAACCGCAGTCCTCAGATCACAGCCTCCTGAGTAGCTAGGATTACAGGCGTGAGCCAGCAGTGCCCAGCTAAAATAGTATATCTTATAGTTGATATATTTATATCTTAGTTCTTGAAAAATCTTGTAACTAAAATTGAGACTTTGACTTCTAGCACAGAAATTTCACTTCAACAACGACTAGAATATATTGCTCGAGCAATTCTTAGTGCCAAAAGTTCCACTGCAATATCATCAATAGCTGCAGATGGTGAATTCCTACATGAATTAGAAGAAAAAATGGAAGTAAGTTGTAAAGATGTTTATCCTATGTCTACATAGAATAGTAGCCACATAGGTGCTTTACTTTTCTGTCTTTCATAGATAAATAATAGGTTTATAGAAGTTAGTCACTTCTATTTTCATGGTTATGTATAAGTCTTTTAAGGAAGCTAGATGTGATCTGTTAGCCCTTGGAAATAAAGGCAGGATTATCATGGAGGTGTTCATCCACGCCAGTCTAAACTGTATACCATGAGACTCTGTCTCAAAAAAAAAGAAGGCTGGAAAGGCGGCTCAGTGGTAGAGTGCTCACCTACTGTGCATGAAGCCCTGGGTATCAATTCCTCAGCACCACATACACAGAAAAAGCCAGAAGTGGTGCTATGGCTCAAGTGGTAGAGCTGGCCTTGAGCTGAAGAGCTGGGAGATAGTGCCAGGCCCAGAGTTCAGGCGCCATGACTGACAAAAGAAAAAAGAAAAGAAGAGAGAGAGAGGGAAGGAAGGAAGGAAGGGAGGGGAGGGAGAGAGAAATTTTTTTTTTGTCCATAGTGGGGCTTGAACTCTGGGCCTGGGCGCTGTCCCTCAGCTCTTCAGCTCAAGGCGCTCTACCACTTGAGCT